GATTCTGCCCACTGGAGTCTGGACCCGTTTGGTAGACGAGGTAATGAGGCAGATTGATTTGTCATAGACACAATGTCATTCCAACCATTGCCGTTCCCGTGAACGTGACCGGCACCGGTCACTTGAACGTGACCGGCCGTTCATTTCATAATTTTTTTGTGAACGGCCGTTCACGGTGAACGCCGCCCGCTTAAAGGTGGTGGTGTTTCTTTGATTTTTTGTTTTTTTGTTTTTTTTAAGGCTCATCCAGGAACATTCGTCTCAAGCCCCACAGCGTGATAACATTGGGGGGGAAAAAAAAAATTGAAATGACCAACAAAATAGCAAACAAAAATGCTTATTTTGGCTGGTTGAGGTTTTTTGTTTTCGTTTTTAATTGAAAAAATATATTATTCTTAAAAAAACAAATTTGAAAAAATTATAGGGAGTTGCCCTCCGATGTCCCTCACCCTTGTATGAAAAAAAAACTACCCCCCCCCAGCCAAAAAAAAAAGGAAAAACCAAATCCCGCTCACCGTGAACTCCATGAATGAAGGCCTTTCACGATTTTCGTGAAAGGTGACCGGCCTTCGTTCATGGACCCCGTGAACGGTGACCGGTGGTATGGCACTGATTCCAACGGGACATGATTTCCAGAGCAGGGACAGAGCCTGCTAGCCTGTGCTAGGAACCGCACGTAGTCCTCTCCGACTACTCTGGTCAACAAATTCTTTTTTTTTTTCCTTTTTTTTTCCCAACAAATTCTTGAACGCAAGTCCAATCCACAAAGTCTTTAGCTGTTTCACTCAATATTGCTCCAACCTACACACATTGAGATGGATGCGGAAAGCAAGCGAAGAGAAGAGAAGAAACGAGGAGAAATAATTATTGTGAACAACAGCAAAGATCTTTACAATCTTTGCTTGGAACTCGCATAAATCGCCTTAAAGGTTTTCGGTTGGGTGGATGCCTTGGCATGGAGAAAGAAAGGACGCAATGAATGGCCGAAACGCCATGGGGAGAAACTCTCTTTGATCCATGGATTTCCTAATCGGGAAGACGCAACGAAGTTGACTTAGAGAACTGAAACATAGGAGAAGAGAAAAGAGAGAGAACACAAAATTATAGTGCAAAAGCTGGGCTGCTACGTGACACCCGTGGCCGCGGCCATGGGCAATTTGGCCGCCGCAGCCAGGAGGCCCAGTTCGCGGCCTGGTGCTTAGGATTTGTTTTTAGGGTAAACAAGTTGGCCCGCCGCAGCTATGCTGCAGCTAAGAGGCGGGGGAATGGGTGGAGGGGGGAAATCAGGGGGGCCATGTCGTCTGCTCTGTCTCTCTGTCTCTCTGTCTCTCTCTCTCTCTCTCTCTCTCTCTCTCTCTCTCTCTCTCTCTCTCTCTCTCTCTCTCTC